ATTTGTATAAATTGGACGGAAACATTTTCACAGATACAGATACAGATAAAAAAAATGAGGATATAAAACATCACGTGAATGATCTAAACAATTACATTTCAAGGATGATAAATTCATAACAGGCTTGGAAAAGATAAAGTGACCGTATTCTTAGATCAAGGATTTACAACAGAACTATCCTGAGACAGACACATATATAAATATTGTCTCTGCCGGAGACTACTGCACCAGTAACTTACTAGAGTGTTCCCACTATCTATATCACTCTGCTCAGCTCTTCATAACACTGCGTTTCACGAGTACTTTCTTTATTGTATAATAACAGAATAGAGAAAGGAAACGAGGAATTATGCCGAAGAGACAACAATCCGACCAAAGAGCAGTTGTTTATCTTATGATTTTCTGTATTTTTGTTTTGTTAATTTCATTTAAACATCAACTCCGGCCTCGGGATATCATAAATGTGCCATGATTATTATGAATTAAAAAAATATATATGTTATAATAGAAATACCTAGTTTGTGGTTGTAAAGAAAGCCAGTCACAAAAGACAACCAGACAAACATACACATTTAAATTATGTACATATATATGAGGGTATAGATGGCAAAAAAAGGGAGTTTTCATTTCTGTATTATTTAATTTTTGGGTAATTTTCCTCTATTCTGTATGTTTTGCCAATTATTCTCTATTCTTTATAACTTTACATCCCATTATTCTTTATACTTTTTTTGCAACTTTGTTTTATTCTTTTCCCCCCATTTTTCTGTAATCTTTAATACCCATTAATTGATATTCTTTCTGTGAACCCCATTCAGACCCTTATATATCAATATTATATATATTTGTATTTTTAATTATTTTACCGGATTATGTTCCTAGCAAAATAAGTAATAGGGACTTTTATCATTTTTTGGCCCCGCCACCAAGTGATCGGAGCTTCTGTCATTCCGTCATTTCACAACGAACAGTTATACGAACTTTTTTCTAAACGCCTTCTCATATTGATGCAATTTCTTAGTATGTGAGTCTACAATGATGAGTTACAGATCGAGTTTACGTTTGGTCCCGCTCCGTTGATTTTTGCCGAAATTACGGGCTTCAGACTTTGAAAATTTCGCGAAAATAACTGTTATACGAACTATTTTTTTCTACACGACATTACATATTGATATAAAAATAAGGAGATGTGGTATGATTGCCAATGATACAACTATCCACCAAAGTTCAAATGAAGTGGATGTAAGCAATTATAGGCAACAGTACGGTTTCTTCAACAATGAGAAAACCCCATTGAGTTGATTTTTTAGTATGTGGGTCTACTATGATGAGTTAAAGATCGAGTTTACGCTTGGTTCCGCTCCATTGGTTTTTGTCGAAACTATACGGCTGTGGACTTTGAAAATTTTGTGAAAATGACAGTCAACGAACTCTTCACATATATTGCGCTGTTTTTTTTAGAGTGTGAGTTTACTATGATGAGTTACAGATTGAGTTTACGTTTGGTTCTGCTCCGCTGATTTGTGCCGAAATTACGGGCTTTGGACTTTCGTGAAATGTTCACTCCTTAAAATGGCTTCAAGCTTTTTTGTACGAGGGGACCATTCGTGTCGTTCCGACACATCTAGTTTATGACTAGGAAAGTTGAATTTTATTGTTTTGCTATTCAAAATTTATTATATAAATGTAAAATAATCTACATTTGTATTTGTATAGAAAATGAAATTGCGAAGGGACTTTTATAGAAGATATAAAAAAGAAGATGCGGTATTATTGTTAGTGTCATGCAGAGGTCAATAAAATTGTAGTAGAAGTACAAACCATGTTTTCAATTATATAGCAAGTGAGAAGGAAATGAAGTCAAACTACCGGTATTTGTGAATATCTGACATCCCCCTTTCTAAAGTCCAAATACCTGGCAAATTGAGAATATTTGAAAAAAAAATCAAAATTCAGGTGAAATGCACACTTCCATTATGTGTAAACACAACCTACAAACTATCAAAACTGTAGCTCAGAAACTGTAGGTGGAGATAGCCGGACAAACTATGATCTCTTTATGCAGCTAGTACCAAAATATGACGAAGTCCAAATACCTAGAATTTTTAAAAATATTTGAAAAAAATTAAATCCTGTGTACATGCACACCTCTACTATGTGTAGAAAAATCCTACAAAATATTAAAGCTGTAGCTCAAAAACTGTAGGAAGAGATAGTCGGACAATCCATGTATCTTTAACCGGGCGGACAAACGGACGGACGAACGGATGGACAGGGATAAATTAATATGCCCCTCGACATTTTGTCGCGAAGGCATTAAAAATACGGATTTATGCTAGGAAAAATGGAAGAAAAACTAATTTGACAGACAGCAACCAATGGCAACCACTCAGTGAATAAACTCATCATAGATACCAGGATTGAAATTTTGTATTTGCGCCAGACGCGCGCTTCGTCTACAAAAGACTCAACAGTGACGCTCGAATCCAAAAAAGTTAAAAAGGCCAAATAAAGTACGAAGTTGAAGAGCATTGAGGACCAAAAATTCCTAAAAGTTTTGCCAAATACAGCTAAGGTAATCTATTCCTGAGGTAGAAAAGCCTTAGTATTTCAAAAATGTCAAGTTTTGTAAACAGTTAATTTATAATTATGACCATATCAATGATAATTCATGTCAACACAGAAGTGCTGACTACTGGGCTGGTGATACCCTCGGGGAATAAAACTCCACCAGCAGTGGCATCGATCCAGTGGTTATTAATAAACTCATCATAGATACCAGGATTGAAATTTTGTATTTGCGCCAGACGCGCGTTTCGTCTACAAAAGACTCACCAGTGACGCTCGAATAAAAAAAAGTTAAAAAGGCCATGCAAATAAAGTACGAAGTTGAATTATACACGCTCTGAACTTGAGACAGACACAGAAAGACTAATATAGCGGGATTAAATAAAAAAAATAAAAAAAGTTGAAAAATGATTTGAATGTTGAATGTTGAATATTGAAAACGAATGTTGAATGTTGAAAACGATTAAATAAAAAAAAAAACAAAAAAAAATTGAAAAAAAAGTTTAACAAAACAAAAAAAATTGAATGTTGAATGTTGAATATTGAGCTCAACTCTCATCTTTTTTATGTAAATTTTATACCCGTCCTGAATCAAACTAATATAGAGCTTTTTTTAAGAAACAAAGTTGTAAAGGAACATTCAACGACATGTAAATGCGATATTAACATGGATTTGAAGAACTTTTATTACTATAGGAAAACTGATGTTTTTATAGCAGTTAACAGCGTTTCCAGTCATTTACTGCCTGCAGATAAACAGGTCCTAGGACTTTGCTCCCTAGGTAAGCTAGTCTATGTTCCATACTTTTCAAGAAAATGAAGTATCTGAACAATAATTTGTGTTAAATTATTTCATGGGAAAATAAGTCCCAGACATATATTTTACTATATATGGACTCATTTTCGTAGGCGAATTCTTGCTGATACTTACTTTTCTAGTAAACTGAGTAGTCTTCTTTTATTTGAATACAATGTAATGTAACCATATCAAAGCACATGTACTGTCTCACAAAAAGGGAAATGTCATATAGTTATCAATTTGAAAAATAATAATTCCGCCACAAGGGAGGATGACTATAATTATGACTGCAATTTCAAAAAACAATATTTCTTAGGTTTCATTTAAAAAATATAAGATTTAGATCAGTGGCGGATCCAGGGGGGGGGGGGGTGTTCCGGGGGTTGGAACCCCCCTTTTTTTGGACGATCAATGCATTTGAATGGGGACATATGGTTGGAACCTCCCCCCTTTTATCCTTGGTTAGGAACCCCCACTTTTGAAAATGCCTGGATCCGCCCCTGTAGATTCCCTTAATTTTTCTGAAATTATAGCTTAAACAATTTTGAAATCCTGAATTTGAACTTGTCAGCAGTTAGTGACTTTATAAAGCAATCTCTAGAATTGTGAAAATGAGGTCATATCCATCAAAAGATACATTATCAAAACTATGTTTTCGTTTTGTGTTTAAACTTATGATTTTTGACTTTTGTTTTTGACTATGTTATATTTTGTGTTTTTGCTTGACCCATATGGATGTAATTTGTAACTAAAATTATTATTTTAATTATTCTATCCGAACAAAATACAAAACTAGCTGCATCACCACTAGTCTTCTATTCTAATTCAAAGTTCTTCAGTGATGTTTTATTCCTTCATTTTTTAATTAGTAATATAAAGATAACGAGATGGGATATGATTGCCATTGAGACAACTATCCACCAAAGTTCAAATGTAGTGCATGGATGTAAGCATGCAATTATAAGTAACCATACGGCCTTCAACAATGAGCTAAACTCATACCGTATAGGCGGCTATAAAAGGGCCCGACATGAAAAATATGAAACAATTCAATTGAGAAAACCAAAGATCTAATTTATAACAAAACAATTTGCGAAAAACAAATATGACAGACATGAACCAACGACAACCACTGAACTACAGGATTCTTACTTGGGACAGGCACAAAAAGAATGTGGCGTGGTTAAACATGTTTGTGAGTGCTCAACCCTCCTCTAACCTAGGAGAGTGGTGTTACATCACAACATAAGATCAAAATATACAAGTCAGTTGAAAATGGCTCAACTCATAAGATCCATAGACCATACAGAGCAGAAAAACATCTAACAAAAACACAGACCGGACGTGGCAGAGTATTAATACATCCCTAACAACAAAAAAGACACAAAGTACAGATCTGAGAGTACTCGCAGTTACTGATAGCTAGTTCAAAGCCAATAACAACTAAATAATAAAAGAAATCATGTATCAAGGACTAAAATATCAATCAGTATACATCCAACATCCAATGGATTTAGTGTAAAGACGTTATTAACAGAAAACATAACCTTGTGCAATGCCAAAATATAGGTATCGACAGATTGTAGTACCGTGAAAGTGCATATATGTATAACAATCAATGGTAACTATTGGGGACGTTCTAATACACTTTTTTTCTCAAATTTATTGTTGTAAATGAAAACAAAACTTATAACAATATGATATAATAAATGCAAAACTGGTCAAATTTTCAAAATAAAATGCATATCATTATTCTTTTATATTACAGAGTTTTTATATACTGTTCGTCTATAAATATATCATATTACAAATTTGCAACATATCAAAATTTCTAAAAATTGATGAATAACACTATGTTAAAAGTATGCAAACCATATCTTGCATATCACAGAAAAAAATATTGTAGGTTAAACAACTGAAAAAAAGTTATGTGTCTGGTTAAATTACAAACAAATAGAGGTAAAACATTTGTAAATGCTACATGTAAAATTGTAAGACATACACCACCTATTTAATGGTTCTCATATTAATTAGGAGCAAAGCAGTTAGGGTATCCTGTCTCCTATCTTCTCTCCCTTGTCAGTAACAGTTCTATTTTCCTTTTTAGAATCCGCATCACAGACACGCTTTTATAAAAGTTTGTAAAACCTTGTGTTTTAATTTGATAAAAGATCAATTGAAGCGTATAACTCCAAAACATGTTTGGAAAATTTGCATATAAAATATTAATTAATCCTTCTTTAATTCTTCATCTATAATTTCCCTACTGTGGTATAACCATTTATCAAACGATCGAATGTCTGAATTTAATTTCTTTGTTAATTTATAGTCTCGTACACAGTGAGGTGATGTGAAAAAATCAAACATGACCGCCAAGTCTTTTGCTCCGACGAACTGAAATCTTTCAAAATCTTTACATCGTATCTGAAAAAAAAACCAGAAAAGATATCAGGAGAAATAACAGATACAGAATCAGATATCTTATTTACTTATAAAAGCATACATAAGGAGTAGAATAATTACAATGAATCATACATAAATGTTGTGTGTTTGTTTATTCTACATTGGCTAGAGGTATTGGGGAGGGTTGAGATCTCACAAAACATGTTTAACCCCGCCGCATTTTTGCGCCTGTCCCAAGTCAAGAGCCTCTGGCCTTTGTTAGTCTTGTATGTTTTTTTTTTAAATATTTTAGTTCATTTATGTTTCGGAATTTGGTGTGACGTCCATTTTCACTGAACTAGTACACATTCTTGTTTAGAGGCCAGCCTCCGGTTGCGGGATTTTCCCGCTGTGTTGAAGACCCATTGGTGGCCTTCGGCTGTTGTCTGCTCTTTGGTCGGGTTGTTGTCTCTTTGAGACATTCCCCATTTCCATTCTCAATTTTATAGATAAATAAATAATATATCAATTAAAGAAATTACAATGATTTCTTCTATTTTTTCCCCTTGATTATAATAAGATTCATAGTTCTATTGATACCCCCCCCCCCCCACCAAAAGAAAAAAACAAAAAAAAAACAGAAAAAACAGAAAACGATGAGGTACAAAACGCATAGTGTATTTGAGTGGTGAGATAGATGTAAACTTGTGTGATTATCTGTAGACATCATGATCACTGGTGTATTTGAGTGGTGAAATAGATGTACACTTCTGTGATTATCTGTAGACATCATGATCACTGGTGTATTTGAGTGGTGAGATAGATGTACACTTGTGTGATTATCTGTAGACATCATGATCACTGGTGTATTTGAGTGGTGAGATAGATGTACACGTCTGTGATTATCTGTAGACATCATGATCACTGGTGTATTTGAGTGGTGAGACAGATGTACACTTGTGTGATTATCTGTAGACATCATGATTACTGGTGTATTTTCTAGCTGTCAAATTTCTTTTTTTAAACAGATTTTGAAATGATTAGGAAGAACAGTTATACGTTAGAAAGTTAAGTCATAGATGACTAAATATAAACTATAAACAACTAATCAAAGATACCAAAGCTGATATTTGTGTACGCCAGACGCGCGTTCCGTCTAAAACGGACTCATCAGTGACGCTCGATAGAAAAAAAGTCGATCTGCAAATAGCATAGTTGTAGTATTCCATTTTCACCACTAGTAAAACAGGGATCACATAACGTCATATTATCACAAATAGAATACTAAGTAGGAGTATATTGCTATGTTTTAATAGGTGTGAATATAAGGAGATGTATACCTATAGAGTAAATGTTAATGAGATATCCATGATATCAACTCAATGACATACTGTGGTCTGGATTCCTTTTTAATCGCGGGAAACCAATTTTCAACGAAGTACAAATTTTCTATAAGCTTGTATGTAGATTTTGGCAAAACCGCGAAATCAAATATCCACAAAATTGCCATATTCCACGATAATTGGTAACCACGAAACTTAATGACTCGTCCACAGAAGTATATTTTTTTTAATAGGCCTGAATGCATAAAAGGAGATCAGATATCAATTCAATGACAATCACAAACAATGGACATCTTCTATGCAACTTAAATAAACAAGCTAAGTGTTCATGCAATAGTTCTGAACGTGAGATAAATAGTGTAATCAGATTAGCCAATTTGTTCTTATGCAAAATCACAAAAATAAAACCAGATGCATATCTAAAACTTGTACATAACATGTTACCTTCGGATCTTCAAATTTTCTGTTTGAAAATTGTTTATTAAACCCTTCAACAACAGCTTTCATTGTTAATCGCCCAGCAGTTAAACCGATGGTTTTTCCAGCATATAATTTTGGCTTGTTAAAAATTGTAGCTACACATTCTCCGACGTCCTCGACCGATATTGCTTCTATGTCATTGTCTTCTAGGGGCAATGCTGAAAATTACAAATTACAACCAATGTAGAATTCAGCTTAGTTCAGTTAATTTTGCAATTTTATAAAAATGTTAATACAATTGTGAAACCTTTTACTTTATCAACCGGTTACTACACAGGATATACACTCTATTGTATAATACGTATTGATTTTCGGGTTTTCTGCACATTGATATCGTAAAATATCAGCCGCGAGCCACAATGTAAAACTTTTTGGCGAGTGAGCGTAGCAGGTACTCATTAAACTGAAAAAATACATACTCAAGAAAATATTTATTCTATGATAAAAATACACAAAACAAACTTATATTACCTTTAATTTTCACAAGGCCTCGAAAGCTTAGTATCATTCAACAGAGAAATATACCGGGGTATCTCGGGTATGGAAGCAAGTCAACTCGTACCATTGCAAACTCGTACCACGTAAAAGTATCACTGACGTAGCTACCCATTATCGTTATTAAAGTAATAACAAAAAGATACCAAAGATTTGAAAGTAAGAAGCATTTACCATCAAAATCTGCCCCTATCATTGCAAAACAATGCTACTGAATGAAAAGTAGCCAAGGTTATTTCGAATTCTTTCTTCGGGAAAAAAAACAAGACAGATAAAATAATAATAAAAATATTGCTTACCTATGGCATAAACTCCGTGTTTGATTTTATGTGGTTTAAAGATTGTGAAGAAATTTTCGTACCAGAATGGAAGTCGTATGATTGTATACGTGATGCCTGTAAAACAAAAAGAAATTAATTTGATTGCAACGTATTAAAAATTGGAGAGAAAAAAAACATCGTTCTGACCGTTTCAATTAAATTTGTTCTAAGCGAGATAACTCTATTTGACCGTGCTGTATATATACTGCTAGGACAAACAATTACAGTTACTGTCGTGAAGTTATTATTGTGTTTTAAAACCACATATGTATACACTGAAATCAAATTGACAGTGAATTTTAGAATTAAAATACAGCAAACAAAATAGTTCGTTATGTCAGGACTTGATTTCAAACACAGACAAGACGGACGATTTAAGTGGTATAGGTTTGTTACACAAAGAATTGTACACTCAATATATAAGAACTCAACATCTTCACACACTTGATATTTATAAATTTTTCTTTGTAAACACCTCTAATTGAATTCGTAATTAAACAAAAAATTATAAGAATTTAAATGAATATGGGAGTACATTTCTTCGTACCGCCCCTTGCCCCTCCCGCCAAAAATAAAAATAAAAATACATCAATATTTCAAAAATTCCAAAAATATCTCCGTTGGTAATCATAATGATGTGGTGGTGAATATATAATATTTATAGGAAAAAACAGGATTGTAAATCCTATACACTTGATCGGAAGTGGTCTGCCGTTGTTGCAACTATCATACGACCCAAATTCATTTTCTAAGTATCTGTCCTATCTATTTAAAAAAAAAGCCGCCGGTAGACACAAAACCCTTAACATATAACAGTGTCAATATGATAAGATTTTAACATCTTAAATTGATCAGTCTAAATAACACTATTTGATTTAGCGGTACAAATTTTACTGCACCAGATCCTGATGCGAATTTCGACAACCAATATCTCTTCAGTGATGCTGAAGGGCAAAATCTTTGAAAATCCATTAACTAATACACACATTAATGTGCTGGTAAAACCAAACAGGACAAAAGGTAAGATGTCTTTAAATGATATCATTTGTGAACTGTTTTGGTAAATTCAAGTAGAGGTTTCACACAACATGTATGGGGAAGGGGAATTTTCATATACCTGCTCGACCGGCTTTACTTCCTGAAAAAATACATATATTTATATTTAATAAGTCACGATGGTTTTTAAAACATCTTTTTAAAATTTGACCAGAGTATAACATATACAGACATAAAATTTTCAAAGACACAGGATGTTTTTCTTTTGATCCATTGTGTAGGTTGTCTTGATGATTTGATATGGACCGATTACTAGTCTCATTTTTCTGCCACAGACGACCAATAAGGGATTTAAAGAATGACTCAGAAAAAGGGGGTCTGTTACATTTAAGGAAGAACCATAAGAGATTTAATGATGAACTGGTCATGGTGATACAGGCGCTTGCAAGGAAAAAAAATAAGGAATTTAACGATGCGATTGGTAGGGTGATACAGGCACATGCATTGAAGATCAATAAAGAATTAAACGAAGAACTGGTCAGGGTGATGCAGGCAAAGATTCAATTCTGAGCAGCTTAGTTGATTAATATTGCTGGAAAAGATTAAATCACTGCAGTTTTGAATTAAAATCATACCCGAGGTTAAGTCATAAAATACTATTTAAAATCATGCATTTACAGGAATTCGAATTCATTGTCAAACTTTGTACATCATTTTGAAACCTTGTTATGAAAGGCCATATAAATCTTTATGCGACTCCGTTTTATGAAATTATTTCTCTTGAAGACATTTTCTACGTTTTTTCACATTGATGACTGGTTTAAGACATAATTAAACAATTTGTTTGTGACACATTACACATAAAATATAGATTGGGCTTTATATACTCACTGATCGGTTCGAATATCTTTAAGCATAGAGTTCTAGATATCTCACTTTAACAACACAGTTTCTTTTTTTTATTAATAGAGCCAATAAAATGACCAGGGACGTTTAGTATTATGATAATGGTATTAAAAAATGTATGTCCCAGGAATGACGGTGTGGACGATTTAAATTTATAAGTTATTTGATATTGCGGAGATAATAGTTTAGACAGGATATAGACATAAAAATAGTATAAATATCTAAACGGTAAAAATTGAGAAAAAAAATAAACTATTAACACAGATATATGTCTCGCCTATTTGTTATTTTGATAATGCAAATGTTGAAATTAAAATAACAATACTTTAACATGTAAGTTATGCAAATATTCAAAGTCAATAAACCATTACTGAAGGTACAGGGCTAAACAATCTCCATGGAAATGAGATGTGCCAATGCTAATACAACTGCAAACCAAATACTATTGACTTTTCATAAGTCGTTCCCTTTTAATAAACCTAAACACAAACATTAACTTGTAAACTATGTAAAAGTTTCAAAGTCAATGAACCATAATTCCGTGGTGGGGTTATATAATCTCCATGGAAATGAAACTTGCAAATGCCAATACATTTACATACCGAATATCATTGACTTAACATTAGTGGTTCATCTTAAACTGACCTAATCACAAACTAATACATGTAAACTAAGCAAAAGTTTCAAAGTCAATAGACCATGACTGAGGGGTAATGACAAAATATTCTCCATGGAAATAAGATGTGCTAATGCTTATACAACTGCATAGCAATTATCATTGACCTACCACTAACGGTTCCCCTTAAACTGACCTAATCACAAACAAATACATGTAAACTAAGCAAAAGTTTCAAAGTCAATAGACCATGACTGAGGGGTAAGGACCAAATATTCTCCATGGAAATGAGATGTGCTAATGCTTCTACAACTGCATACCAATTATCATTGACCTACCATTAACTGTTCCCCTTAAACTGACCTAATCACAAACTAATACATGAAAACTAAGCAAAAGTTTCAAAGTCAATAGACCATGAATGAGGGGGCGGGGCCAACTAATCTCCATGGAAATGAGATATGCCAATGCTTATACAACTGCATACCAAATATCATTGACCTACTACTAGTGGTTCCCCATAAACTGACCTAATCACAATCTTATACATGTAAACTAAGCAAAGTTTCAAAGTCAATAGACCTTGACTGAGGGGGCAGGGCCAAATAATCTCCATGGTAATGAGATGTGCCAATGCTTATACACCTGCATACCAAATATCATTGACCTACCACTAGTGGTTCACCATGAACTAGACCTAATCACAAACTGATACATTGTTGACGCCACCACCGTCGCCGACGCCGGAAACAGCATGCCTATGTCTCGCTTTTTGACTGTGTCAAGGCGAGACAAAAATCATGACACGAGGTAGTCAAGTTTACATAAATAAAGGGAAGTAATGTCGTGCACTTTTTTTTTAAAGAATCCATTTTAACCTAAGTAGTATGATCAATAGTTTCACAATGAATTCGAATCCCTTAAAACAAAACACCAACACTTTGTTACAAACCTGGTACTATTTTTGCTGTTTAGGTAAAAGAAATAACTTTTCAAAGTTTGTACATTTTATAAAGTCCTAAAAATGTAACTTAAGGGGGTGTATCTAGGTTAAACGACATAAATTTTTCAAATCTCTAAAATGTTTGTATCAGCCTCTTTCATAAAGATATTCGAAGCTTCTAAGTAACCTAGATTATTTTCATTCTAATTCACACGAATGCTTTAAAAGCATCTATGTAACCGGCTTTTACAAACGCATTACATACTTTTAGAGTCGTCTTCCTTTACCCGGGTCTGTATTTTTATTTTCACAATTTTTCCTTTGCCCATCGTTCATAATCATATACAACATTGTTAGAATCGTATCGTGTTGTATTTGAGTTGGATGCTTTGGTCATTCGTGTCATTCATTCAGACAGAAACAGGAATTATACAAAGTAAATTAAACAAGTTATTTAAAAGGCTCTTTCGTTAAACAATTCATTAATATTAGATTAAGAGCGACAAATCAAGCCAGCAACACATAGCTGATCAATAAGCCAGCGACCCCAGAAAGTGGCATATTTAAAATCATTAATTTTCATTATGTTAAAAATTATCATCAGTATAGCAAAATACAGATTGCCCTTTTAATGATTTTGTGGTAAATATATAACTACGTATCATTTTGATATTCTAACAAACAGTTATTGATTGTTTTAGGGGACGACCATTTGATGTTCAAAATATGTCCATCCAATATTCGGTCTTATTAAAGAGCAAAACGCATATTCATGCATAAACATATTTATATAGTGCATGCATTTAGATTGCTAGTTCAATACAATAAATTTAGCAAAACATTTAGCTATTAATAAATTTTTGAATGCATACCAACTTCCCGGATGTACTCCTCTATCCCTGCTTTAGAATCTAAATGAGCACATTCTCTGCCTACATATTTCTTTACCAGTTCAGATCCATTGAACACAAGATGTCTGATGTTAGCATGGACAGCAGCATCAATAGCGTTCAATCCCTGAAATTTATATTTTTATGTTATGTTATCGTGAAATTTGATAATATTCTATTCATTAGATAGGCCATTATCATTTTATGGAATTGTTTAATATACTATTCAGTAGATAGACCATTATCATGTCGTGAAATTGTATAGGTAATATATGCTATTGAGTGGATAGACCTCTGTCATTTTTGGGGCCGATTATTTCTCTATTCTTGTTGGTCCATTTTTCTGTAGTACACCCCCATTATTCTCTATTCTGTTAACCCTCTAGACCCTCATACATACTCTGATGACCTCTTTTTCTTTGTTTTTATCCTCCCAATAATGAGTAGTTAGGAACATAGTATCAGCTCCATCTACGGCCCTCTCTAAACTTTTTGGGTCATCTAAATCTGCTGTTACTATTATAGCACCTACAAATAAAATAATCATACATGTAGTTAGAAATGCCCTTACCAGTCAGGCGAATTTTATCTCTTTAAATTTTCTGATTTTCTAAAACTGTTTTACCTATGATAGCTCTGTAAAGTAAAATATGAACATCGCGTCTATTGTTGAAGACTATTGACTACTATATGTCCCCATGTTGCTGTTTCATTAATTACGTGTAACCACATCTATTTTTATTCACATCAAATAGTTTTCTGGATGAACGGAAATAATAAAAAAAAAGAATCATGCTATATATATTTCTTGTAAGTTTCCCATGCAATTTCAAGTTGAAGACAATTCTGTTGCTCGTTAAAAGGTGTTTATAAATACAGTTGTAATTTTCTTTATTCAATTAAAAGTAAACATGATTACATTACTAGCAACTTGCCTATACTACATATACAACTTTTATTACTTCTCCAACTTTAAATTTTACTCAAACGTACCAAAAGATATCATACAGATGATACAGTACAGATAAACTGTATTCGCTAGCCAAGGGTACGCTCCGGAGTCCTCTTCACAGAAGGAATCCTGGTCGTAACCTTTGACTACCAAAGATTAGAATACAAAATACGATCTTAACCCTATAAACAAGGGTCTATTCAATTTTTAAATCTCAATTATGCCATCGTCTAATAAAGTTGGGGAAAGCTTTTAAAATGGACTATCACCAATGAATTCCGATGTGCATCGCCCCCGAATTCCGATGTGCATCGCCCCCGAATTCCGATGTCCATCGCCCCCGAATTCCGATGTTCACCACTCTCCCCGAATTCCGATGTTCATCCGATGTTCATCGCCCCCAAATTCCGATGTTCACCCCCCTCCCCGAATTCCGATATGTTCATCGCCCCCGAATTTCTTTGACAGTGAAGGTTTTATCTCCATGTAATGACGTCATTTATCGTAAGGAAAAATTACGCTTTTCTTTCTTGTCAGGAAAACATATTACTATTATAAAAAGGGAAAATATATTATCTCGTCTTTCCCATTAACACTATATATACAGACCAGAATTTTTATACTCCAACGAGACGGAACGTAGACGCGACTTGTTTTGCTAAAAAATACAGACAAAGGGCACTGGTCATAATGTTTCTTGTTTTAACCCTCTGGATATATACATATATCAATGTGGATAATCCCTTCCTTTTCGCAACGAAAAACAAAAATTGCCAATGAAAATTAAATCTTACTGGTTTTTTTTTATTAACAAACGATATTTGAATGTTTTAATCAAACCTGGTTTGAAAAGATTTTTTTTCATAGTTCATAACAAAGGCAAATGCTTCACTGAGAATTTAAAGTACACACATGTATACTGTTTATAATCTAAATTCAATATTTACATGTTTTCTATTAAAACTCTTGGTTTTAAAGTGATTAAGTAGGAATTTACTAAGAAGTTTTACTAGTAGGGATACTATTATGTCAAAACTGTCGAAGAGGAAGAAAAGAGGAAGAATGTTATACAATGTTTTAAAAGCGTACTTAACTCAACTAAAAGGCAAATAATCTTTTGAGTCATTACGTAAAACTTTTTTTTTATCAGAAAACAGCGGCGGATTCAAATGGTGCGAATAAGGTGTACTCTTATCCTTTTTACTGGGAATATATTTCATTGCTTTGTAAAAAATTGTCCAAACAAATTTTCCTAGATACGTTTAGCATTATTTCGACCTGTATAGACAGTATTGGTCCGTCCTACGTAAAAGAAATTTAAATTTGACATAACAATACCATGTGCAGTTGCTGTCGATTTTGGTTAACGGAAGAAAGTGTTCGACGTATAGTTCGAGCTAATGTTTGCTATCAAACTAAGTATAAAATTGAACAAACCTAATTCAGCCAACTTTCTGGCTTTATCACTGGATGATCTTCTAGTTACACATTTTACTTTAAATCTAAATGGGTCCTCAAGTAGCGCCCGCGCTACAGAGCTTCCCAGTAGGCCAGTGGCCCCGAAAACTACAACGGTCCTAGGACCTTCTGGAGCATCACTACTTGATCCACATCCCATCCTGCAATTACATAATATTACACAAAATAATCAAATACAGCCTGTAACGACATAATATGACACAGAATGATACAATACAGCCTGTAATGACATAATATGACACAGAATGATACAATACAGCCTGTAATGACATAATATGACACAGAATGATAAAATACAGTCTGTAATAACACAATATGACACAGAATGATAAAATACAGCCTGTAATGACATAGTATGACACAGAATGATAAAATACAGCCTGTAATGACATAATATGACACAGAATGATAAAATACAGCCTGTAATGACATAGTATGACACAGTATAATAAAATACAGCATGTAATGACACAATATGACACAGAATGATAAAATACAGCCTGTAATGACATAGTATGACACAGAATGATAAAATAAAGTCTACAATGACATAATGTAACACTGATGATAAAATAAAGTGTACAATGACATAACATGACACAGAATCATAAAAGACAGCCTACAATGACATAATATGACAAAGAATGATAAAATACAGTCGGTAAGGACATAATATGACACAGAATAATTAAATACAGAGATGACATATTTTAACGTCATAATGACACAGAATGATAAAATACAGAGCATTCATTTTAGTGAAAAATAACACTATTCATAGTTAACTACAGATTGGTTGGCGTTTATACGGTTTGGTGCAAACTCTGAAATCAGGTTATATTTGAAATTATGTAATACACTTGATAGCAAGTTTCTTTTTTATGCCGAACTTTGGTTAGATGGTGAACCTCAATGATAATCTAAACTCTGTATATATCATAAGTTTTTCAGTAACAAAGATGAGGAATTCTTCAAGGAAAAAAACTATTGGACAGGAGATAAATATAAAAAAAAAATGATTTTTCTTTGGCTCCGAACCACAAGTAATTGGCTACAGGACATTTTTTTTCGCCCTCCACCTTTTTTTCCCGAAAATCCGTTATTTTTTTTTGTTGTCTTCTAGTTTCAATTATTTTCATAGTTTTCTATGTTAGACTTTACATAAATGTACTAGAATTAACATATTTTTTTAATAATTATTTGTTTACTTGTTTACTATCAACAAATACCCCTAGCGGTCACTAATTATCATTAAAAAAGGGGGAGAGTCAAAACAATTGTCCTGTCCCCAAGTATCTGTGATTTAGTTATGATTCCTCGCATGGAAAGAGGTGTGTGATGATGTTTTGCATGCACAAAGGAGGTATGGTGGTATTTTGTTGCAATGATGACTGCCATGACAAGAAAGTATGTATGGTAGACATAATGGGACAATGACAAAACCAACAACGGAATCGCAACAAACAAGACGTCCACATTTTCTTACTCTATTAATTAGATATGCAACATGGTAAAACATGTCATTTTAAGCTGAAACATATTAAAACACATTGAATAAATTCTTTCTGAACTTACCTTTGGAAGAAACGCCATATTTATTGATGTAACATAGACATCAGTTTGCAGTGTTGTGATGGTGACGTAGATCAATAGAATTGTCTAACAGGTAATCTCGATTGTAATCAATATTTATATAATATATATCAACCAATTATTTAATTTAATTAATGTAATTTCGTAACTAAATTCCTAAACAGGTTAAATATGTTAGTGGGTACTCGATGGTCTTTTGCAGGCGCGGACTTTGCCATTTTAAAAAAGGGGGTACTAACCTCCAGAACGCCACAAAGCGTTCTCATAATTTAATTAATAAAAGGATGAAACCTTGGATCCACCAATGTTTTGTAAAGCAAATATAAGAAGATGTTGTGGTATTTTAAATACGTCAATGGGACATTAACACAACGTACAAAATAGCCAAAAGGAATCGAGAGCAATAGACAGGTGTCTATACAACAAGTCAAGCTTTTAATCGATTAAAGAATTTAGGAATAAATTAGATTTGTATCTAAGATCTACACATTACGACATTGCGAAATATGACATAAGAACACCACTGACAAGGAAAAGGTCGTTATTTGGGGTTATGACCTTTAATAGTTAAACTTCAATCTGATATCCACTTTAATGATCTTTAATAGTATTTTTGGTTTTTAGAGGGGTTCGTCCGAAACCCGCTATGGCTTCGGGTATGGGAATTTGTGACCACAGGGTTCAATTAGATAAATATAGATTTTAAGATCCACAGAAGTAACCCAAAATATATAATTTAATGTTAACAGTTGGAAAGAAAGAACAAACGGAAAAAGGTTAATTTCATAGAATGGATGTAAACCAGAAAAAAAATATGTAAAACTCTTATAAAATACTGGGAAACACAATTTCATAGTTATCATTAAAACATTTATTTACATGATTACATGGGAGTAACCGAGAATAAACACATCAAAGATACAAGGCTATTACTTTTGTACGTCAGAAATGCGTTTTGTTTACAATAGACTCATCAGTGACGCTCGAATCAAAAAGTTAAAAGGCCAAATAAAGTATAAAGTTGAAGAGCATTGAGGACCAAAAATTCTGAACGCGGGTATTGTGTGAAGATTGTTAATTGTCCATGCAATACATTTTTCAAATACACTCAATTAACGTCTTGTAGTTTGCACATGGAATGATGACCATAAACACGCCCAGAATATGCTTTTCATAAATAACTTCTTGCAATGTCCATATATGGGATAAAAAACGAAAATTACCATTACACTGCGACAAGAAAGTCGTGGTTGACCGATGAAAAGATAAACCACTTACATTGCTATGATGTCATAAAAGGGAAAAGCCATGTGCATAACGTCTTTATTAACAAGAAGAATATGAAATGAAAAACGTATATGGTTGTAATATCGGAATACGAATACGAATACGAAAGTTTTATTTTGATTCGGTTCACATATAACAATACAAACATAAACTCTTAAGAGCTTTTTACCGAATATAAGGTAACACAAACACAACATTAAAACACACAACATGCAGACAGGATATATAACAGCACAGTCATATCGAAATACATGCAAAGCACTTTTAAAATACATATCTAAAGCCAAAGCTGAAGCACAACTAAAAATTAAGCACAATTAAAATTAAGCACAAATAAAATATAGCACACATGCAAAAATTTAAGGCATAATAACATGTTAGAGCAACTTCTAAAATATGATAAAGCTTATCTACAAGCAGAACAACAACATTTTGAACCATTCCAAGACTGTATAAGGCTCTTAAATTGAGAGAAACTGTTTTCAGTCCTGAAATGGTCAGGTAGGCTGTTCCACAGAGTAGCAGCTGCAAAAAAACACACAAGAACACCAAAATAATTTCCGAGCGCAACTTTAGAGACATTTTTGTCGTTTTAGTTAATTGTTAATTGTTAAAGTTTTCATGGTAGTATATGTTTAATCTATTAATTTTTTTTCTGCACTCACATTAAATAGAAACTTTCATTATTTACAAAAATATTGATGATTTTGTGTCGTTTGGTTACTGCCTCACTTCACATGTCAACGTATATTTGTTCCGCCTAACAGAAGTTCCACTGGATATTTTGTTATAGACAATGTCATAATATCAGTTACTGTTGGAACAAATATTCTATACCATTTATTCCGTTAGGAACATTTACTGTAATATTTATTCCAGTGGAAATAATATTCCAGAATATTGTTTCCATTTGGAACTTATATCATGAAGGAACTTCTATTCCGTGACACCCATATAACCACATCTCCATTTATTCACACGCAATTACATTTTTACAAATGCTTTTACAACACATATGCATATGGTCTCTATAAAAGACTTTCAATATATATTTTTTTGAAGGTCAGTAACTGGAACCATTTAATACAAATAACACTGTGATAATTATAAACATAACATTATTTCAGAACATAGTTCACAGTTCCTGTGGCCTCACGGTGGCATCGATAGGAATTACGATATTCAAAATATTCTAAACAAATAAAGTACGTACCTTGATTTCAAAATATTTCATTGTTTTTATCACATGGCTCTTTAAAATCCCACATTTTAATTTTCATTTAGTGTATCTATGTGTATTTTCACAGAGGTGTTTCCAAAACATTAGGACAAATCTATTGTATACCCTGGGTAAGATATTTAAAGATATGCTCCGTTGGTTTCTTATTTGAGAAATAGATTTAAATGCTATTCATTGTTTATTGAATGACATTAGAATCAATTGATAAAGCGTGTTCGTATTAATATTTACATTAAATAAATTCATATATTGATTAATAAGCATTTGATTTAGATTTAATAAGGTATTTATATGGCATTTAATGGGTTAAAGATTATGTATTAAATACGAAAATGTATAGATATTGATAATGATATGATTTTTGTTTGATGGTACACGTATTTCCTTTTTAACCTTGAAAGAAATGACCTAAAAATATCTGACTAATTTTCCGGACGCGCGAAAGTGGGGTTCATATACAAAGAAATTTCATCTCTTGAAAACCATTATAAGTGGTACGGGATTATCTGGACTACGTTGCATGCCTTAATATTTATATAAAATTGAGAATGGAAATGGGGAATATGTCAAAGAGACAACAACCCGACCAAAGAGCACATAACAGCCGAAGGCCACCAATGGGTCTTCAACGCAGCGAGAAAATCCCGCACCCGGAGGTGGTCCTCAGCTGGCCCCTAAATAAAATTGTGTATTAGTTCAGTGAAAATGGACGTCACACTAAACTCCAAAACATATAAATGAACTAAAATTAAAAAACATACAAAGACTAACAAAGGCCAGAGGCTCCTGACTTGGGACAGGCGCAAAAATGCGGCGGGGTTAAACATGTTTTGTGAGATCTCAACCCTCCCCCTATACCTCTAGCCAATGTAAAATAAAGAAACACATAGCAATATGCACAGTAAAACTCAGTTTAAAAGAAATTTATTACGAAATATATATATACAAGTCTAAATTGAAAACAACGTTCAAACCTATGATTGCGTTGGATAAAAACCGCAATTTTTATACGTGTGCATGCAAAACAAATTTCTTGGTAGAGGGGTCTACATACAGCACAAACAACATTTTCCGAAAGACCAAAAAAGTGAAAAAGTATATTTTAACAAAACGCATTTGAATAACAGGTCGAACAACTGATGTTCTTAAACCCTGCTGACTGCCATTGGCGATTGCCAAATAAACGTATCACCAGATGTAAAAAATTGATCTTAATTATATTTCCTTGTATTAGTGCGATTTAGTGCAAGATGTCAAAAGGATATTAGAGGGTTTTTAATCAACTACTTTATCCTGAATTAATTGTTAAAGAGATTTCACAAGCCTTATGATTTTTACTTTGAAAGTATTTTGCGATTTTACATAATTCGCACAGAAGTGTGTCTAAAACCAATATTTTAAATATACAATTTCATTCCTTGAAAAATTTATTACAAGTTGGCTGAAAAAGGAAAAACAAATAATAACGACAGCTTTATTTGCACATTACACCAATATGGGTCAAGCTAAAATGATACGACATTTGAAATTATTCAGCACACTTCAGATAAATACTTCAACAGCTCTACCCTATATTCTGACAGTCAATTTTATTCCACAGGTTTTCAATGCACCAATTTGTCTGACGGTGGAATTCGCCTTGTTTCAGGATCGAGTGCATTATGGGTAATTTTCGTTGGTGTACTCTGCGACGACATTTTGAATTTAAGGGCATACGATCATCGGAATTTTTGACGAAAGTTTGCATACAAACAATTTATATATGTAATAAAAAATATACCTTCATGTGCTACTTTTAGAGATAAAAGGGGTCGAAATTTTAGACATTTACTGGACATTTCGGTTTCTTTGACATTTCTCAGTATCGTTTGGAAAGAGATATACTTAACTTTTTTGTTTTAAAAGATAAACGTAAGCGGATTTATCTAAAAACATCTGGAATATCTTCTCTACATAAGCGTTTTTCTAATTTGTTTGTAACAATTCTTTGGAAATTATTCATTTGTCACATTTTCATGATTTTAGTTAAAAACGGGCATTTTTGGCTGTATATTTATCTAATTTAAAAAAATTTCATCTGTGAATTGTTCATAAAAATTGGCACAAATAATTTTCATACATAATCAAGCAAAATGGCATTATAAAAAAAGAGGGGTCCTTGAAATCGTTTTCAAGTTAAATCAGTCTGAAGGATAAAAATCAGTCGAAAAATGGATCTTTTTTCGATATGTCACAGTTTGACGTCGCGAAAAATTTTACGTTAGCAATGTCATTACCTCCCTTGTAACTGTATCGTATGCCCTTAACCGTCCACATGGACATGGTTATAAATTGATCGCGTAAATACTAAGCATGGCATGGATGATGATGACAAAGTGGTAAACGCTGATACTGATTTGTGTGTTTTTGACGTATTTGTGCAAACAGCACATTTTCACCGGGGCGGATCCAGCCATTTTTAAAAGGGGGGTTACAAACCCAGGATAAAAGGGGGGGGGGTTCCAACTATATGTCCCCATTCAAATGCATTGATCGTCCAAAAAAAAGGGGGGGTTCCAACCCCCGGAACCCCCCGCTGGATCCGCCACTGTTTTCACCCTATTTTTATTGACAATTTTGCACCAGCTATGATGAACAGAATGTCGTCATTAGAAACAAATGGCACCACAGCGTACACCAAAGAGTTTTACCCATACTGCATTAAATTCTGAAACGGCGAATTGAGAATAGCCTGTATGAATAATGGTCTCAACTCTGGGTAGAGTGTGAAGAGAAGAAGTCGACTTACGTGTACATGTCTGGAGAGTTCCGGTGGAAAAACTTCTTTATCTTATCCATCTTTGTTATAATAAAGATCAAGAATATATTCTGTATTCCTTTCACCGCCAAAATAACGAAGAAATTGCAACTTCCTAAATGATCAACGATTTGTTTAAATCCATCAATAGATTAATGTATTCTTCCTTTTATAAGTATTACTGGGACGGTCTATAAGGAAAAATAGTACTGGGGTTGTATAATGAATTTATCTGAAGTTATTTTACGCAATATTACTTAGCGGAAGGATCTATTGAAGATGGCCAACTGGTGTGACTAATAAATAGGAAATGTCTGTTGTTGGTACGGATTATCTCACGATTAAATTTCCATACCCTTGGGAAGTTGGAAACCATCGTTGAAATTTAAAAAGATAGTTATTACGAATGTTACCGATACTTGACTAAATAAAATTAAATCTAAACCAGGAAAACGCAGGAAAATCCGATAATATAGGGCTATTGCATGAATAATGGGGAACAGCGTCCTGAGTAGCTTTTATATTGCACGAGCTTGTGAGTGCAATATATGCTATACTCCACTAGGGATAATATTTACACATATTCATTTTTTACCGTTTTCTATCATTTTTGAACTTTCAAGCTTTTATATATATCAATGGCTGTGTACAAGGCAACATACGGTAAAAAGAAAACTTTGAATACACCAATTTTATATCTCAGAGGGACCTTGGAATTAAGATAGGTCGAACAGATATTTTTTTCGACTCTGAAACAACCTATACATTTTTTTCCATTAAAAAAAAAAAGGAATAGAGCGAATGAAAAGCGAATATCTAACGCACTAAAAATGTTTTTGATGATTTTTGTTAGACTGTAGGTGACAATGTTGATATGGTTTTGTGATGACTATGCGATTGTGTTATACTATTTCAGAATTATCAGAACAATATCTTTTGAATATGAAGATATTTTGTTTGTAATTCTTTTTAAGCGGCATTACGTTGTTGAATATATTATAAATGAATAATTCTTTATAATCCTATATAAAAAGTGAAGTAAATGAATATTATTAAAATACACTTTGGATCATGTTTCAACTATTCCATGCTGCACCATAATTCTTTCAGTTTATCAAATTAAGTATCAGAAATAATATGTGAATAATATCAATATCAAACACCTAGTAGGCACTGACCATTCATCTTTTTTCAAAAAAGGGGTGGGGGTCATGTTTTTTTTTTTTAAATAGATTATTTGATTGTGAATTCCTAGTACTTATAAAAGAATGAAAGTAAAACAGATTATAGTTTGTTTCTGATAAAAAATAATTTAAAAAATATTGTTATTGAAAACATAGTTTGTAAATTCGTTAAAGAAAAAAATATTGTCCCTAGAATAAAAACCATTACCCCTTTCTTCAACCAATAAGGAAAAAAAAACCAACAACATTTAAACACGCTTATTTTTGTTTCAAACATTTATAAAGGCATAATATAGCAATAATATTTCGCTATTATCAGTTAGTTTTGTTCAATGTCGTCAAAATAAACTCTAAATATCGCTGATTTATTATTGGCTTGCAAGTCAATAATTGAACCTTATTGGAATCCGTATTCATGCAACCTTTAATTTGCCTTTAAGTAGATATGGGTTGCGCATGTGTTCAGCATGTGGGCAACATGCTCCTTTATTAAAATTAAAAGAATGTCAACATTTCAAAGTGAAACAAGGGAGACACTAGCAATAACCTTTTCGTCGACTGATCATTCTTATACACGTCAGGTAAAACGATGATTTACATATAATTCTGATCTATAACACGAAATTAAACAGATCTAGAAAATCGTCTAGATTGCACGTGCTTGCCTGTCATATATCGTGGCGATCAGTTTTTATTGGTGGAGGAAGCCGGAGTGCCCGGAGAGAACCATCGACCTTCGACAGGAAAACTGGCAATCATTTATACTAATATTTATTCTTATATCGGGTTAAATGATAACCATCGGCAATCTTTGGAGGTTATCACAAATGATAGTCTAAAATACGCACGAAATGCTGATACATTATAACGGGTCCATGCATTGTTAATTGTTTCTTTTGGACATTTTTTAATATGGATATACGTTTTAGTATGTTATAAATCAAATATGATAATTTGGGTCAAATAGGTGAACAAGAATTTGACATCTTATGCCCATTAAAAGAACGAGAAAACCATTTTGTGTCTTGTTGTCTTAATATGGTTTATGGAAAAATAGATATCATCTTGTCCCTATGCCTACCTGCCGTTATTCCATCCAGCAATATGTCCATCTATACATTATTTTTTTAAGATTGTCCCCATATT